CCTCACCTTCCTCCCAGCTACTCAAGACCTTCCGCCACGACTCCTGTCCCGGCCTCTTTTTAAAAACCTCCTGACACACTCCTCCAGCCAGTCCAGGACCCTCTCCCCCCGAGCGCCCTTGCCTCGGCCGCCCCCTCTCCCCTCCCGCGGAAGGGCAGGGTGTGGCCGCCAGAACCCTACTTGCCCCCATTACCCCGTTAGCACGGTTCCCACCAGTGCGTCCAGGACCCCAGCTCACACCCACCTGGTGCTGGGTATGTGGGGGGTGCGGAGGGTAGGGGAGCAAATCAGTGCGTCCGTGCCCCACGGCCGGCGGCGCTCTCTTCCCAGCGCCCAGCACACACCGGCTCCAGTCTCCGATCAGCTGGCGGCGTCGTGACGCACAAGTTGCGTTTGCACCTCCCAGAGCCAATCACCGCCTACTGGTGGGCAGCGTGACCACACCCACTCGGGGGCGCCAGCCCTTGGCCCTAGTCCCGCCCCTAGGGCTGTCTTAGCTCTGATTGGCAAGGAGGCCACCCCTTTGCCTAGTAGAATTTCATTAAGCCACACCTACCAACTCACGAGTTGGCCAATAGGTGAAAAGGTGTGGCTCAGCCGTCCGCCTTGGCTACTATCTTTGAAGAGCACTACGTCAAACTAGGGTTCGAAAGAGCAGAAGGAAGTAAAGGCGTGCGGTGCATACTGGTCAATGTAGTTCTCGATCTGACACCCCGTTCCCAGAATCCAGAGCGCTCTGTGAGTTGGCATTTTTAAAGTCATCTCTGAATCCATCCCGGCGAAATCCTTAAAGGGCGACAGCCCCTCCTTTTTGGAGCCGTGAGTGCTTCTTTTAGACAACCCCAAAACGGATTCGCTGACCTCTGCAGGAGGCTCTCTAAGGAAAAGTGAAGCAGGCGAAGCCCCAGGAGTGGGCAGAACTGAAGGTGGAAATCGGCCCCCAGGGCAGCAGATTCTTCCACAGGATGGGAACTCCTGAGGGCTTTTGGGGTACAGAGGACTGCCCACCTCGCCAAGCCCCAGCTTCCACTGGAGAGATCTAGTCCACCCCTCCTGGGGATGGGGGTGGGAGGGAGGCTTCCAGATCAGGAGACTTCTCTTGGAGATGTCTCGTCCCAGCCGCAGGGACAGAGCCGCTTCCTAACAAAAGACTCACACTTTTCGGCGGCTGTGAAGCTGGAGAGGTCCCGGCCGTGCCGAGGACGTCGGATCTCATCGCCCTCCCAGTCCTTCGACCCTCCCGCGAAAGGCCCTCAATAAAATGGTTTGCTTACCCTCGCCCCCCCCCCAAAAAAAAAAAAAAAGATTGATAGCAGTCTTCACCTGAGGGTAGAAGGAAGACTTGTGCTCAGAAACTAGGGGATGGACCGTGTCAACGTGCCACGGGCCGGCCACCCCATCCTGTGCCTAATACCCCCATTCAGTACCGCCCTCCAGAAGCTTTCCACTGACTCAGGCCTACTTAGGGAAGATATTTCGAAGCTAGAGACCAATGAGAAGGCGGCTCCTTCCCTCAGGGGCCAATCAGCGTTTAGAGGGGCGGGGGATGGGCAAAAACCTGAAAGGAACCCAGTGACTTGGCAAAAGCTGCCGAGCTGCTTATTTAAAGGGGCAAGTCCGCGACCCATTCCACCTCATCACTCCTTCGCCCTCCGCCCTCCGCGACTGAACAGAAACGTGTAGCCCGGGATCCATGACTTTTCCATAAGCGCCAGATTGGCGGTGAGGGTAACTGAGCTGGAAGGATTTGCCTGGAGCGTGAGGTAGTTTCTTCTCTACCAAATACGGGCTCTGCCAAGTGATTGCTATGGTTCCCAGGAGCTCCAGAATTCTGAACTTGCGTTCAGAACATTGTGCCTTTAAGGAAACTTCCTGCCTTCCACCCCAGTAACAGCTGATTGTTGGAAAGTGTGACCCCAGGGGACGAATCAGCTGTTACCACATCCTCCTCTTGGCCTGCCCTACTCCATCCGCTTGGTCCCTCCTCCCCCACCACCGGTGGGGAGGGGAGGAGAGGAAGGAGATGGAACCCCAAATATGGGGGACCCGCTTGTATGTTCTTTCCTCTTCCCTCTTTCTCACTGTGGCCATCTGCCCTCCCCTTCTCCCTCCCCCCAATCTGCTGCTTAGCTCTTCAGAGGTTCTGAGCTTGGAACCAGAGGTATTTCCTGTCAGCGCCCTCAGCTCAGACCCACCCCTCCCTGGCCTAGTAAGGGAGGCCAGTATTGGGGAGGCCCAGAATGGACGCTGGAGGGGTGTGTGCGGGATCCAGGAATGGGTTCTGGGGAAAGTCTAGCGAAGCTGCGGACCAAGCCTAGAGAGGTATGGCTGTGGAGAGCAAGCCTCCCGGGTGTCAGAACCCTTGCTCCCCAGGCCAGTTGCCCTCTACTCCCTGCTCAAGTTGCCCTATTCCTCCCCAGACAGGGGCTTGCTAAGGGGATCCTCCTGGCCTTGCCCGTTCAGTCGATTTCTAACTGTTTTTAGATGCCACCTGGCCCTTGGCTGCTTCAGTTTTTACACTCTTACCCTCTACAGC